TGGGGCCTGGCCTGGCCGGCCGGGAAGCTGTGGCAGGGCCATCGCTGTCTTCTCCTGCAGGAACAGAGAAGGAAGGGGCAGCTGAGGGAGCGCTGGGGACTCCGCTAAGAGTGGCGACGAGCCTGCCCCAGATGGCCCGCTTCTCCACGGTGGACAAAAGTCCATCTGCGTGTCCTCCGCCGGATGCCAGGGTGCAGCCAGGCCCAATCAGTGTCGAGGGAGCGACCGACGGGATGGGGAGCGGAGTCCCACCGTGTGTCCTCGGAATCGTCACCCCTTCCCAGTAGTCCCAACCTTGGTGCTCTCCTATGGTTGGAAAGCCTGTTGCATTTAAACAAATGAGCAGGAACTGTCTCTGGCTTCCACGGTTTTTGCACCGTGCCGACACATGACTCCCTCAGTTAATGCACTTCCGCTCTGCTGAGCTCCTGCAGGGCCGGTGGTGTGGTGAAGGCAGGCTGACTGTCTTTGGAGCCTTCCATCCTGCAGTGGTCCCAGCATCTCAGAGCCGGCCTGGTTGGGCCAGGACCAGGTGCACTGGCCCTCCCACCCTAATCTGTGTCCCAGGCAGCTGAGTGGTGCTGCCCCATGTACCTCTGGGCCATCTCGGGGTTTGGTCCGGTTTGGGGCCCCTTTTACTGATGCAAGGTTATTTCTTGCTGCATAGCAAGATTGAGTAGCTTAACACCCCTAGCACACATTCTTCTACAGTTTATGAGCACTAGAAATCCCCTGTGCTCCCTGGGTCATTGGTGCAGGGCCCTTCCCAAGGCTGCTGTCAAGGCCAAGGTCTGTGTAAGCCGTGACCTGCATGGGCTCTGCCTCCAAGCTTGCTCCTGTGGTTTGTAGCTGCTGGGTGGAGGGTTGGTTCCTTGCTCGGCAGTGGCTGGAGGCCTCTCCCAGTTCTGTAGAGCAGTGCATGACAGCAACGAAAGAGAGAGAGAGAGAGAGAGGGGCAAGCTAAGACAGAACCCACAGACAGTATTACAGACAGCTGAGTATTACAGACAGCTGAGTTAGGTAGAGATATCCTAGGCCATCAGATGAGGCTGGGCCTGGAGGGCGTCAGTGCAGAGGGTGAGAACATCACGGCTGGGCCCAGAGGCGCATCTGTGGAAGGCCAGGCCTCAAGGTAAAGACGGAATGACTAGGCCTGCATGCCTCCTTAATAAGGATAAGATAAGTGGTATCACCTGGCCCAAGAAAGTCTAGACAGATGTCAGTCATCACACAGGTGACCAGGACCTCCCGATCCATCCCTTCCTAAAACAGTCATTGTTCCTTCCATGTTCACCCGCTACATGGCCAGCTTCCCCACTGGATCAGTATTACCTAAGCGGCTATGCTTGTAATCTCACTGATCATAGTCTTGTCCCACATTGTACCCACTTTGTGATTTTGCTCTATAAAACTTCCCTTGTGAAGTGGGGTCTGAGGCAACCACTCGGGCTCCCTCCTGTCTCTCAGGAGCTACAGTCTCTCCCTCTCAAGGAGTATTTCCTACTCTTAACCTCCGTTGTTCCTTAGGATTCATTCTTTGATTCTGAGGACCACGTACTCAGTGTATCTGACATCTAACAGGTTGGGAGTTGTACTATTTCCCCTCTGTCACTTAGAGGTCCTACATCAACAGGAAGGGCTGATCAGGCTCGCAGCCAGGGCTGTACGGAGCTCCCTGCACACACCGCGACCTTCTGTGCCTGACGGTCACTCGAGAGCCTCTAAGTTAGGAACACGGCAGCCTCCCACTTCCTCTTCCCCCCATGTCCCTGGGAGGGCCAGGCTGGCCTAGTTAAATTTTCTGCAGCTTTGCTTCCCAGAAGGGCTGGCCCTGGAAACAGCTGGTCATCAAGCGCAAGTAGTTGCCCAATAAAGTGTACGTATGGTTGCCTCCAAACCGGGCATAAAGCAGTTGCTCCTTACTTTTTTCTTATGTTTGTCGTCTCAAAGTAGACAGAGGACTGAAGTGGGACCTAAAAGAATCTGTGTCAGGTGGGCGGAGACCTGCAGGGAGGATCTGAGTCAAGGGCAGGGGCCGAGAGGGAAAGGTCAGTCCCAGCGCGGTGCCCAGGGTGCCCAGGCCCAGTGTCCCGTGGGCCACTCTGCTCCTCGCGCCTGCAGGCCAGTGCCTACATCCTTGTGACCTGTGGCAGTAAAGAACAGGGGACAAAAATACATATGACAAGTGGATGTTTTTAAAAGCACCCCAGGGCCTCCTCCTGTCTCCTGATTTGTGTTCTGAGGGCTGGAGGCTCTCGGTGGGGCTAGGGAGAGGAGGCGAAGCCTGGTCCTGGAAACCATGCACAGTGGCTGCTCAGCTTTCTGACCTGGCTGATTTGCCAGCACACGGGGCCACCAGGTGAGGCTCTCGGTTGCTTCAGGGCCATTTGTTTGGTTAAATTCCTGACAGACCTAACCGTGGGGCGGCTGCAATGCCAGAGTAACGCGCCGTGGCCCTGGGTGAGCATTAGCTGCCCAGAGATGGGGTCAGTCACTGAGACAGATGCATGAGGACCAGAAGCCAAGGCCCAGCTGAGCCCTGCAGGGCGGAAGGGGGAGGTGGGGGACGGGGCAGCCTGCTGACTTTGTCTGTGTTCGGTCTTTGCCTCGTGAGTGCCGTCTCTGACACTGCCTGAGAGAGGCTGACACTGGGCAAGTGACAGTGGACTGTCTGTACCCAGCCCTGCCCTGGCTCTGGCCCTGGCCCTGGCCCTGGCCCTGGCCCAGGAGCCCAGCCTCAGAGGTGTGGTGGGAGCCGGCCTCACCCAGCAGTTACTCTGCTGATGCCAAGGTGCGGCACGCTCTGGCCCCACACACACAGTCGCTGTGTCCTCGCAGCAGCCCTCTGATACGGGCTCTACCACCATTTCTGGTGGGAATCACAGCGTGGCTCCGAAGTGACTCTTCCCAGACCTTGGGACGCCCGACAGGGGCCAGCGCGGTGAGCCTTCCTCCCGAAGCAAATGTCATGTACATCAGCGCCAGGTGGCTCTGGCTCAGCCTCCTGGGCTTTGTTGCTGCCAAGCTACCAAGCCACGGGAGCTGCCAACCAGGCAGCATGGCTTTTAAATTATGCAGGGCATTGAGCGGTGGGTGGCAGGGCCGGAAAGAGGCTGCCATGAGCCGCGCTGTGCTCCGAGAGAGCTCGGCTTCCGGCTGGGCTGTGTTTGGCTCTGGATGTGCACCGTCTGTCCATGCTACACCCAGGAGTCAGAGGGTACAAATGCCAGCCCCGAGGAATCCTTCCAGTGGGGTTCCAGGTCCACGAATCCGGTGTCTGGGCAGCCAGATTGTTGGGAGGAGCAAGGAGGGTGTAAGAGCACCTGATGCAGACCTACGAGGGGTGTGGCTGAATTGCAGCTGCTTTTAGAGCTGTAAGTTTGAATTACCTGACTTTTTGTATTAAAATCTGTGGATTCATTTGAAAGCTGGGAAAACGTGCAAGAATGGGAAGATTCTGGAACACAGTGAAGTCTCTTTTCTGGTGGCCTCACCAGCAAGTCTCACCGGGCTGGTGCTGCCCCAGGGCATCTGGGCAGATGTGGTTCGGGGAGCCCCACCCCGGACACAGGGCTCCTTCTCCAGCTGGTGCAGCCCTGCCTCTGTGTGGGATCCGCAGGGCGCCCGGGAGCACTGCAGGAGCCCAAGGGAAGCTGCAGGGGCACAGGGCTTTCCTGGCCCCCAGACCAGGCAGTGAGTCCCGCCCTTCCCCAAGAGGGGAGCAGCCTGAGGTCCCCGTGCCCTGCTGTGCTGCGAGCTGAGCCACCGTGCCCGAGAGGCTCCCGCCCCCACCGTGTCTGTCTCCGTTCCATGTTGTATAAAACTGACTTTCAAAACCCCAAACTTAGCCAGAGGCTGAGGCAGGAGGGTCGTTGAGTTTGAGGTCACCCTGGGCTCCATAGTGAGACCCTGTCTCAAAAAGAAAACACCCATAAATTTAGATGAAGATAATGCTGTTCCATTGCTGTGTAACTTTTACTCTCAGTCTGTGGAAGCAGATTCAGAGGCTTAGAAAATGTATATTCATTCTGAGATACGTGTATATATTAGTGAGAAATATGCATTATTTATTTCGGGGGTACTGGGATGAAAGCCAAGACCTTCACACTGACCTGTATCTCTAGCCCTTTGTAAAAGGAAAAAAAAAATTTTTTAAATTCTGAGACAGGATCTCCCTGAGTTACCAAAGCTGGGCTCAAATTTGACATCTTCCCACCTAAGCCTGCCAGAGTGCTGAGATTATAGGTGTGTGCCACCACTCCTGGCTTGCTTTACTGTTTTATTATAAACAACTCAAATATACCGAAAAATAAGGGTGATAATGAACCCCATGCCCTCGCCTTAACAGCTGTCATTATCTTCTCATCTTTGCTTTATACATTTCTTTGAACATCTAATAAAGTTCGAGAAAAGATGCACCCTCAGGGACAAGGCCTGGGATGTTGGCCCCGCACCGCCCCACCCCTCACTACACGTCCTTCCCAGTTCACTTCATGGTCGCAGTGTAATCTGAATTTAGTTGTGAAACATAAGGAAGACATGCGTCATCCAACACGCAGGCATCCGCGTCTCTCTGTGGTTTATTCTTCACTCCGCAGTGTGGTGCCTTGACTTGCCCAGACCCGAGCATAAACATGATGAGCATCCCTGGGAGGCTGAGGCAGGAGGATCACAAGTTTAAACCCAGCCCATGCAATTTAGTGAGAACCTGTCTTAAAATAAAAACTTTAAAAAGACGCTGGTGGGCCAGGGATTTAGCTCAGTGGCACCACGCCTGCCTCTCAAGTTCAAGGTCCTGAGTTCGATCCCCGGTACCAAAAACAAAATCTAAAACAAAAAAAAACCAACAACAAAAAGAGGCTGGCGAATCAGGGAGAATACTATGGGTTGGTAAGTGTTCTGAGGCCTCCTGCTTTCCAGAGTTGAATGGCAAGCCTGATGCATGTGCTGCGGAGCAATGTTCACAGTGGCCTGTCCCTGACCCTGTCCTCTCTTTGCAGGAAATCACTACATGTTTGCCGGATTACTACAAATGGACTCAGTACCTCTTTATTAAACTCTATGAAGCCGGACTGGCCTATCAGAAGGAGGTAAGTTAGGGTTAGCAGCACTTTTGAAACACTGGGTGCTTCTCCGTCTCCTTAGAGTACACTATTGTTAACATATGGAAGAAAGAACCTGGTTTGCAAAGCAGCTGTGAAAGTGAATGCCGCCACAAGTCCATGAAATCGGTCGCAGCAGACCCAGAACATAACTGAGCAGCCTCAGTTTACAGCCTCCAGTGTCTGGGCTTCTGTCGCTCTTGCGCTCCCAGCACATGAAGTACCTCATGCCTATAAGCTGGCCAGGGAGAGAGCACGGAGAAACACCGGCTCTCGACCTTCACCGTGCTCCTCTTGCACCTGTGGGACCCCCTGCCTTCTCACCTCCGGCCAGGGTGGGAACATCTTCCATGCAGAGTTATTGGGAAAACGGAACAGTTGTCAGGCTGAGGGTGTGGCTCAGTGCAGAGTCTATGCTTAGCATGTTCAAGGCCCGGGGTCTGATTCCCAGCAGCAAGCAAAACCAACCTCCGGTGTCCCAAGCCTGTGCAGAGTGGTCTCCCGGGAAGTGGACATGCTCCTTACGGAGGGGCTTGGTCGCGGTAGATAAGGTTAGGGAGTGCGAGTGAGAAGGGCATCCCTCAGTGTGGCCTCGAGCTGCCCTGTCCAGCGTGGTAGCCACTGTGCTGTGCCAGTTTAACTTCAACATAATTGAAATTAAGTACCATTTACAAAGTCAGGTTTTCTGTCACACAAGTCACTGCCAAGTATTCACTGGCCAAACTGCTCATAGCTACTGTTGAGTATTGGGCAGCACAAGTGCAGAACATGCCTGTCGTGCCCCTTTAGATACTGTCTTGATCAGCTTTTGTTGCTGGGACCAAATACCTGACTTAGGTTTATTTTAGCTCATGGGTTCAGTCCATGGTCAGCCAACTCCAAAGCAGAAGCATCATGGCGGAAGGGCCTGGTGAAGGAAAGCTGCTCACCTCATGGCAGCCAGGAAACCAAGTGAGAGGGGGAGAGCCTGAGAAAATATACACCCATCAAGGTGCCCAAGGACACACTTCCCCACCTGGCCACACAGCCCATTCAGTCGGGCCTACCCACGGGTTGACCCCTTGTCAAGACAGTCCAGCCAGCACTCTAGGCCTCTTTCCATGCAGTCAAGTTGGCTGTCAGGATAAGCTGTCAGGACAGCACTGGTCATGAAGCTTCCGGAGAAGCAGGTAGAAAATCCACTGTGCCTTCATTCTTGAGACACATCCTTTGATCGGAGGGTTCGATGACATTATTACATTTCCTTTTCCTTTTTCTTTTTGGTTTTTTGAGGCAGGGTCTTGCTGGGTAGATTAGGCTGGCCTTAAAGTCAATATGTAGCCCTGGCTGGCCTTGAACTCATGACAGTCATCAGCCTCCTGAGTGCTGGGTCACAGGCGCATGCCCCTATGCCTGGCCCCCATCATGCACCTGCTCATTTGGAGGTTCACTGGGTCATGCGGGTCTTCCGAACATTGATACAGTTCACTGTACAACAGCTTTGACATTGTCATGGTTTTTCCTTAAACCCAGTTCCTCCATCAGCTATGTAGACGGACGTTGAGGGAAGGGGTTTGCCCAGAGCATCCCCAAGCAGACCTGGAGATCCTAAGTGTTGTGTTCCAAACAAGCGCCATCCGCTGAATGTTCAGTTCCATCGTAAAAGGCCTCTGTCCTTGTTCTCACCAGACAAAAGCATGTTCAACCATAGACATGAACATAAAGGCCCTGCACGGCATACTGACTTCCCCTCTTCAGTTTAAAGGAAGTCTTGTTCCGTGGGCCACTATTGGAGAGCAGAAGGAATTGTGGAGCCGCTGATCTATGGCTTCCTCTTTGGCCGCTCCACAGCCAGTCCTGCAGCGTGGCGTCAGCTCCTGAGGGAATGAAAGACGGCCTCTGCCCGGAGCCCCGGGGACCTTGGGACAGTGTGACCGTGACAGGATGGGAGCTGTAGGAAAGCCACCCTGCCCCAGCTCAAACAGATTCGGGCCTGGTCTGCGCTGATGGAGCGAGGGGGAGGCCTGGGTCAGCTCAGTGCGGCTGCTCAGTCAGGCAGAGCAGGGTGGCCCTGGGAGACCAGTGCCCTGAAACGCTGGAACCTGAAGCTGCCTGCCAGGAGAGTCAGAAAGTCCCCGGTGGCTTACACAAAAGCCAAGGACGAGGAGAGAGAAGGGCGGGGGAAACCAGCGGAGGGAGAGTTGCCAGAGCCTGTGGTTGACTGAGGTGTCAGCCAGGGCCCAGAGCTCACCAGTGGCAGATGTGAGCCCAGGGACCAGCACCCTGCGTGCAGGCTGAGGCCAGGCAAGGGGGAGCTCTGGAAGAGCAGTATGCAGAGACAGGAGGGTTTGGGACAGGAGGCCGCAGCGGCTGTGCTGGGGAATCGAGTGGCACTGGCCCCACCCCTCCAGGAGCCCAGCGGCAAAGCAGGACAGGGGAAGAAACAGAAATGCAGGACGTCACCGGCACCAGACACATTTGACCCGTGTGTCACTGAACCAAAAAGCCTGAATGTAGAGTTGAAGCCTGGGTTAACCAGCAGGTTCTGCAGCTTGGAATGGCTCATCCTTGATGTTGCCAGATAACTGTCAGGGTGCAGTGTTTCACTGACCTCCATCTTGATTTAAGGCTGGTTTCAAAATAAAGACAGTATTTTACCAACAAGGTTATTTTACTACAAAGGAATGTAGAGTCGGCTTCGGGGGTGACAGAGAACATCAATGTCATCCAGGGAAATGACGTGGTTTGTAAAGTTGTCCAGAAATCATACCCTTCTCGCCAAGACCATGCTTGCTTAGCAATCAGGTGTCCTTCAAAGGAAGCGTTACAAATGTGGAAATCCAGGAGTGTGGGTGAGGGAAGGCCTGGCCTCTGGGGTAAGTCTGTGAGGAGCCCAGGAGAGTGCCTGGGAAGCAGCTCAGGCCCCAAGCACTGTGCTGCCTGCCAGGCCTGGACTACCGCCCTGACCAGAAGACTGGGCTGCACCTGCGGCTCCAAAGTTGCAGTGATCCTGGCCCAGGGAAGAGCCCTGTGGGCCGGCGAGGGTCCTGCGTCTGCCCTTCTTTCCTCGACAACCTGTCTCCTTGGGTGTTGCCTCCTCCCTGCAGCCGCTCATGTGGCCGGATGGCTCTTCTGCTCTTACCTGTCTTTCATTCCCCACCCTGCTTACGTGCAAGCCTCTTAGGAGCTGTCTAACTCCTGCCAAGGAGGAAGAGCCCTGGGAGCCAGGCCACCTGGGAAACACTGGCAAGAAAATTAAGTCCTGTTTGTCTTTGCAGTGGCTGTGCCCAGTGTCCCTTCTCCCCAGGTCTGCGGGCAGGAGCCAGAGGTGGGGTAATGGGGCTCCTCCCCTTCTTTTATGTAAGTTCAGTTGTGAGTAGGTTGTCTGGATTTTTATCGTTTTGGGGTTTGTTTTTCATTGTTGTTTTCAATGCAGAGTTCCCTCTGTCATATTTTGTTACCCAACAATATTTGGCCTTTTCATTTTACTTGTTGTTTTAAGTGAGCCATTCCCCCCACACCCTACAGGGCAGTGATAATAAATAAACAAATCATCTGTGGTTTATTAACCTAAAGGTTTTAGATCTAAGGTCTTTTCATCCTATATTTATTCTCTATAAATTTACAACTTCAGGCTTGGGGGGTCCTATTTTACAGGAAATTGATTATTCAAGGCATATCTTTCCTACTCAAATTACATGTTTCAGCGGATGGGCCTAGGTTTTTTTTTTGTACGAGGGATCAAACTCGGGACCTTGCACTTTTGAGGCAGGCCGCGGCAGCACTGAGCTAAATCCTCGGCCTGAGCCTACTTGTAATTGTAAAATCATAACCCCTAAATCACACCCTGTGGGCGGGTGAGACCCTCCCACCCCGACATTTTCTGACACTGTGAAGTGTGGCCCTGACTCTGATGGCACCCAGACGTGGAGGGGACACCCGGATGGAGTGGCTGAACTGTGACAATGGGGCTGTTGGTGCCGAGAGCAGGAGAACTCAGAAGGGCTGGGAGCAGCAGGCACTGGCAGCAGGGGCCTCGGTGGACCCCAGACGAGGCAGAGCTGGAGCCGTGGCAGCCCAGGGCATTGGTCAGACCCAGCCCGGAGGCAGGGCCCGGGTAAGGCAGCCACAGAACAGGGCAACAAGGTGGGTGGCTCCCAAGGGGCAGCCTGGCAGTAGTTAGCACTGTCGCTTTCTAGAGCTGCATTTTTCTTTTTACTAGGAATTGAACTCAGGGTCTGCTATACCGATTTTTAAAATGTGTCAACAACAACAAAAATTATTGAATGGCATATCAATACCAATGCACTCTCACCACCTTGTGGGGATGTAGCTCAGTGGTGTCGCACCTGCCTCACAAGCGCAAGGTCCTGAGTTCGATCCCCAGTACCAAAAAAAGATTTTTACTGAATGGAATATCAATACCAATGCAAAAATGTGTGTCGAGTCAGGATACGTCAGTACCCAGCATGTCTCCCTACACTCACCGCCTTCTCGGTACCTGCGTGTCATAAAGGGTGAGTGTAGACGGCAGGAGGATTTACCTGAAACAAGGGTAGAAGCCACCCAGGACTCTGTGGCGAGGTCTTCACCTTGGTGGAGCCCAAGTCCTGTCAGTCAGGTGAATCCATGGAGACCAAGCCAGAGTTCTTCCCGGGGGAAGTGGTGGTGTTGATGGAGCGGAAGTGGAACGGTTTTCTGGGGTGCTGGGGCTCTTCTGTGAGAGTGATGGGTGCATGAGTGTCTACCTGTGCAGAAATTCACCAGATGCACACCTAAGATTTACCCGCTTTGTGTTGCACCTGAATTCAAATGGGAATTTTGTTTGTTTTTTTTTCTTTTGCCTGTTTTTTTTTCCCATTAAGTTTATTGTTCCATTTTCGGTATAAAATACAGTTATATTCATCATCAGGATCTTGTACCTTTACATGAGTATCTTGGTTCTTTCCCCCTGCCCTTCCCCTGCCCTCCCTTCACCCCCTCCACCCTTCCCTATTTGCAAAGACTTTGTTTCCATTTTTTTCCTTCTCTCATATTTTTTCTTTTCCCTTTTTTCCCTTCCCCTACCCCTCCCACTTCCCCTGCATCTTTAGACCTTTTCTTCCTGTCACACAATATCAATTATACATTTTTTAAATTACAATATCAAGATCTAGGAGACATTACCACAGATTTTACAGAATTTAAAAGGATATAGAAAGCATATTTCAAAAATC